CCCGTACTCGCGCGGCTCCTGCGCCAGCAACTGGGCTGCAGCTCTCTGCAATCCTGCTGTGCCTGCCAATGTCAAGTGGCGCACTCGCGTGGATCCAGAGGGGATCGAAGAGCTACTGCCTCGCCACAGCCAACCTTGACACCCCCATCCATCCATCCATCCATTGATCCATTCACATTTCGTATTATCACACTAATCCCTATTTCTACTCGCCATATGTAATATATTTTTCGATATCACCATGCGCTATTAATATCCTGCACGCTACCAGCACACAGCTTATGTAACTACCCTCCAGCTCCGTTTCGGGGCACGGCAAAATGGTCCTCCCCTGTCTAATAGGATTCTCAGGAGGCGATCACATTTGCACGAACTCCGCCCGATGCACAGGCACATGAATTGCAACTGAGAAACGTACACGTATCGATAGATCACCCTTCGGTATATCCTGCCCGACGACACGTCATTTAGCGAATGCTTGGCAAAAGTCCGTGTGAATTACCACCAGCACACTTGCACAAACCACCTCCACCGTATAAAATCCGTCTAATTTCCTGCAGCTTTCATTCATTTCATACCAAGCTCCATACTTTGTATTTTATTTGCAACTTCCTTGCCCATGGACACTGCTGTTGACATCATCAAACACGTCATTGCCGAGGCCAATGCCGACCTACGCGAAATCTCGCTGTCTATTCACGCAAACCCGGAGCTTAGCTTCAAGGAATTCCACGCCCACAAGCTCCTGACAGAGTTCCTCGAGAATCGCGGTTACACCGTCGAGCGCACCGTGGCCGGCCTCGAGACAGCCTTTGTAGCCACATATGTCTCGCCAGCTGGTCCTGACGGCCTGCATCTCGGATTCTGCTCCGAATACGACGCGCTTCCCGAGATCGGCCATGCCTGTGGCCACAACCTGATTGCCATCTCTGGCGTCGCCAGCTTCATGGCACTCACTGCAGCTATCGACGAACTGAAAATCCCAGGCACTGTGAAGCTGTTTGGCACGCCAGCTGAGGAAGGCGGAGGCGGCAAGATCTTTATGCGCAAGGCGGGCGTCTTTGACAGCACGGATGCCTTGCTGATGCTGCACCCGGGCGGTGGGTTCGACATGGGCGGGTATTCAGGCGCCTGGCACTCACATGCAATTCAGTCGCTCAATATCGAGTACTTTGGCAAGTCGTCGCACTCGGCTCTCGCGCCCTGGATGGGAGTCAATGCTGGCAGCGCAGCTGTCATTGCCATGAACGCACTTGGCGTAATGCGCGAGCAACTGCACCCGACGTGGCGCGTCCATGCAATCATCGAGAGCGGAGGAAAGGCGAATAATGTCGTCCCAGACTATGCCAAAATCTCATGTGGATTCAGGGCCTTCACTGGCGCCGAACTGGAGACATTGCGGGGTATGATGCTCAAGGTGTTTGAGGCTGGTGCCATCGCCACCGGATGCACACACAAGATTACGATGGACCACGAGTTACTCGACAACATCGACAATCCTGTGCTAGGAGGCTACTACGAGGAACTGATGCAGGCCAAGTACAAGGTGCCGCCGTTCCACGAAGATGTCGGTGGATCCACTGACTTTGGCAATCTGTCGCACGATTTCATTTCGTTGCACGGAATCTTTCCGCTAGTTGGTGTCAAGGCACCGCCGCATAGTGCACCGTTTGCAGATGCAACCAAGACCGAGAGCGCTCATGAGAACGCGCTGTTTGCTGCCGAAACCAATGCCCGTACAGCCCTTCGATGCTTGCTCGATCCCGAGTTCTGGGCTGCTGCCCAAAAGAGCTTCAAGGAGCGCAAGCCGCCTGGTTCACCCACCGTGTAAAGACCGATTATATACGTTTGGTAATACATTGAGAAAACCTATGGAACGTCTATGCACTGAACAGGCTTGTGTCAATCTTGTAGCCGAGCTTGCGCTCGATCATTTTCTGCACGTTTTCATCCAGCAGGCTCTCAGAATCCAACCGTCGACTATTGCCAGTTATCAAGGACCAAATCCAAGAAGCCCCTTCATACAGCGCCATGCTCGTGCTGGCCACAGTAACAGCAATATTGAATGTTAAATAGCTCCACTCGGCAACAATCAGGCCCAGGAATCGACTCAGCAGCATCTCTCGGCTCGACACAACGCCGCGCACCCGGTCAAATCTCCGGTTAGGTGACAGCGCATCGTCGACCAGCATCTGGTGCAGCCCATAGGCCGCGTAATGGCCAAGGATCTTTATCCGGTTCACTGGGATCCCCATGCTGCGGTTGCTGGCCCGGACGATATTCATGTTGCGCGAAACAAACACCAGCTCCTGTGGCAGCTTCCGAGTGCCCTTGAGCGCGGCTATGGCGCGCCTCTTAAACTCCATCTGCTCCTTGTACGCATCCTTCGTGCTGTGTGAGCCATCATCACCATTTTGCTCTGCCTGCTGCTGGAGCTTGTGCATGTGTGGGTGACCGGTTAGTGTAGGCGGACGCAATGAGATCATCGTCGAAAACATGTCTGTATCACCAAAGCCCCAATGGCGCACGATATTGCGCATACTGGCGTTGTCACCGATCATTGCCGCGCGCCAAAACTCTGCATACTGCTTGCGGAACTGTCGCGACTCGCGAATGTACAGTCCGTGGTCAAGCAAAACAAGCTGCGGGCGCGATTTGTACTGAGGGTGTTGGCGGACCAGGATGTTGCCCGGATGAGGATCGCCGTGTACATTGCCTGAGACAAAGATCTGGAATGCAAACACAGATACTACCAGGTTCATAATATCCTTCTCAGACCATCCTTGGCTGGTAAGCCTCTTTGGCTCCACCATGCTTGTACCATCAATCCACTCTGTAGTGAGGACCTCTCGCCGCGTCTCCTCCCAGTGCACCTTTGGAATGTACACTGAAGACCGCAACCACCGATCAGCCAGCTTGTTGAGGTCATCCTGAGCCCGGTCGGCATTGTGACCCTCGCGCTCAAAGTCTGTCTCCTCGCGCAACCGTTGCTCCACCTCAGACACCGACCACATCATCGGGATACCAAATGCTTTCTCGATCACCAGCGCGCATGTGCGGAAGGCAAACAAGTCCCACGCGATCTGGTGCTTGATCTCGGGCTTCTGAACCTTTACCGCGACCAGCTGCGTCGGATCCCGGCGAAGTCTTGCCGTGTGCACCTGTGCTACAGACGCCGATGCCACGGCTTCCTGCGAGAAGTCAACAAACAGATCATCCAGGGTGCTGCCAGGAAAGTTGCGCTCAATCACGGGCGCAATCTCTGCCACAGGTACAAACGGAGCATTGTCGTAGAGGACACTGAGCTCGCGACCATACGCGGGTGGCAGCAGTGGACCCTGGAGCGCAATCGATTGCCCAAATTTGATAAACATTCCGCCGTTCTCTTGGCAGCAGCGCAGAAGCCGCTTTGCCCCACGCTCATGGATCATGTTCAGGTGCTCCACCCCACGCTCTGTTCTAAAGTTCAGCTTGTAGTCTATGCAAATGACTGCAATATCTTTGAATGTCCGCGCAGTCCGAGCCAGCGCCGATGCCTGAAAATGCTTATCGTATGCATATACGCCGGCCGCACCAGACACAGCCAATGCCGTCCGGCTGAGCCAGCGATATCGCCACAGCCTATGGCCGATTCTGCCTAGAGTCATTGCTGGGGTAATTGAGGTAGTGTTTTGCAATTTAGCAAATGGAAAAGAAGCAAGAAGACCAACAGCCAACACCAGCATCTGCGCGTAAGCAGACACCTCGATAATCAACCTGATTCCTGATCGGTGCTCTGATTAAGACGCGCTTCTAACAGCAGCATTGTACCAGAACAGCTTGCAAGATGCCGATCGCGGAGATGGTGAATCCAGAAACAAGGCGCGGCAGAGACATCTGCGCTTGGTTTATTAATAGACTGTGCCTATCGCCATCCTGTGTCCAGAGCAAGAAATAACATCCTTTGACCAGCTGGGTCTCAGGGCCTCAGTTTGGCTAACATCTTACAATAATTGACCGTGGGATCCCAAATAGCACACGGCGAAAGTTCGAACGAAAAGATCCCAGTCAGGTTCGAAAACACTGTTGGCAAGAACACTCGGGGACCATGCTGACAACATTGCGTTGCATCTACAAGCGCGCTGGTGGGTTTTGGCCGGTTCGCGCAGCTTGGATGTCCACGGGTTTCAATCAATTTTATGATAATCCCACCACGAACATACGAAAGAGAACGGGGATTGTTGCTTTGAATGAGCTGGAAAGAGCCGTTTGGGGATGCACCGAATATTCGGTTGAACCTGAGCAAACGAAATGTGACCCGCACCATCTGAGCGGAGCACTCCAATAAGAACGAAAATAACCAGCATAGAAGGAAAGAAGGTCATGTTGGAACAGTAGATCGCCGACTTGGTTGCTCTACGGAGAGCTTCGGCGCAGGAAAAAGTGGAGAGGTGCCCTCTGATCACCATAGATGTCGGCGAGTTGGGGGTGGGATATTGCGATTGTAGAGCAGCAGATGCTGCTGCTATTCGCGACTACACGCCAGGTTGCCAGTTGGCAAACGGCTGTTTGCTGCAAAGGCATAATTCCCACAGAGAAAGTGTGTCTTCGACCGGCGAACTTTCCGGTTAGACAGTTCCTGTGGAACATTTACACATGTACTCTGGTTTGGATTTTCATAGACAAATACAGCAATGCCATTTATAATTCCCAGCTGGCATATGATACCCATTTCTTCCCCAGGATGCCCTCCCCACTTCTCGCCAGAATATGCCCGTGCAGCAGGTTGCCGTTTTTGTTTACCCAGGGCCATCTGCTGCAAACACGCCGATAGCGCCCTACATCTGCAGTTTCTGCCACCCATTATTGATTCGCACCTCGAGCAATCGCTCTCACCATCGGCCAAACGGGGAAGAACACACCACCGTCGACACGTTTGCCAGAAAAGCCTGAGAGTAGAGCGGCATATATAGAGGACAGCCGCTCCCTGCTCACCCAGTTCATTCAGTCGCATATCCTAGCACGAATACTCTCTTCAATAATCATTCTGCTATTTTGCTCATTTTACCCTTGCTATATTCCCTACTCTAGAATAATTCAACTATTGTGTACACGACCTGACCATGGCGACCCAAGTCGAAAGCCAGGGTGTGCACTACCCCGGCTCAGGAGTTCACGATGAGCTCCAGCACGAGGAATTCAAGGCTGGTGTCGAGAAGAACGGCCAGTACAATGAGGAGGAGGAGGAGGAGGATTCCCCCTTTGAGATGGTCCGCGTTGCTGTCTCCAACAAGGACGACCCCGACCTGCCCTGCCTGACTTTCCGCTCATGGATTCTCGGTATCATCTTTGCAGCTGCCCTTGCCTTTGTCAACCAGTTCTTCTTCTTCCGCGAAAACCCCATCACTCTGGGCGGCTATGTCGTGCAGCTGCTGTCGTTCCCGCTGGGTTTTGCCATGTCCAAGGTGCTACCGACGCGCAAGTTCCGCACATTCGGCTTCGAGTGGACCATGAACCCGGGCAAGTTCAACATCAAGGAGCATGTGCTCATCTCCATCTTTGCCGGCACGTCGGTGGGCGTTGCCTACGCCATCGATGTCGTGACCATCAAGAAGATGTGGTACAAGTCCGACATGGGCTTCGGTCCCAGTGTGCTGTTCCTGCTGTCGTCGCAGGTCATGGGCTACTCGTTTGCCGGTCTGTCGCGCGAGTTCCTGGTCTACCCCTCCGCTATGATCTGGCCGGCCACGCTGGTGTCGGTGACCCTGTTCCGTACCTTCCACGAGCACTCGGTCTGGAACGGCTGGTCGCGCACACGCATGTTCTGGGTCTGCTTCGCTGCCAGCTTTGCGTGGTACTGGGTCCCCGCCACCATCTTCCCGACGCTGTCGATGATTGCAATTCTGTGCTTTGCTGCCCCCAACAACGTCATTGCGCAGCAGATTGGTGACGCGCCCCACGGTCTGGGCATCCTCAACCTCACGCTGGACTGGAGCTACATCTCGTCGGGTTTCACGGGCTCGCCCATTGCCATCCCGTGGGTCATGGCTGCCAACGTGTTTGCCGGCTTTGTCATCATCATGTGGATCATCACCCCGATTGGCTACTACACCAACACCTGGGGCCACGGCATCTACCCGATCTACACCGCGTCGCTGTACCTGCCGGACGGCGGCCGGTACAACATCAGCAAGGTCATGACACCTGACCAGAACTTGGACCCTGTCAAGTACGAGGAGTACGGCCACCTGCGCATGTCGTTCCACTTTGGTCTGACCTACGGCATTGGCTTCGCCGGCCTGATGACTGTGCTGTCATACATTGCTCTGCACCACGGCAAGGATATTGTGCAGCGCGTGCGCCAGTCGCGCTCGATGGACGACGACATCCACGCCAAGCTGATGCGCCGCTACCCGAGGTCCCGCAGTGGTGGTACCTGGTCACCTTTGCCATCACCTTCGCCATGTCGATCATTGTGTGTGAGGTGTGGAACCTCATGAACTGGTACTGGGTCATTCTCAGTGTCGTGCTGCCCTTCATCTTCACCATCCCGATTGGCATCATCCAGGCGCTCAGCAACCAGCAGCCGGGCCTCAACATCATCACCGAGTTCATCATCGGCTACGGCCGGGTTGGCGACCCCATCGCCAACGTCACCTTCAAGGTGTACGGCTACATCACCATGGCCCAGGCGCTGCTGCTCGTCTCGGACCAGAAGCTCGGCCACTACATGAAGATCCCGCCTCGCACGCTGTTCATTGCCCAGCTGGTGGGCACCATCATCTGCGCCTTTGTGCAGCTGGGTGTCGCGTACTGGCTCATGAACACGGTCAAGGACATGTGCACACCCGAGGGCCGCCCGTGGACCTGTATCCAGGCCAACACCTTCTACTCGGCGTCGGTCATCTGGGGTCTGGTTGGCCCGGGCCGCATGTTCGGCAGCGACAGCCCCTACCACGTCGGCCTCTACCTGTTCATTGTCGGCGTGTTCCTGCCTGTGCCGTTCTGGTACCTGCAGAAGCGCTACCCGAACAGCCTGTGGAAGCACGTCCACATCCCGCTGCTGTTCTCGGCCTCGGGTTACATGCCGCCGGCGCCGTCGCACATCTACGTCAACTGGTTCATTGCCTGCACTATCTTCAACTACTTCATCCACAAGTACCGCAACCAGTGGTGGCAGCGCTATGCGTTCTCGCTGTCGGCCGGCCTTGACTGCGGTCTCGCGATCTCGGGTATCGTTATCTTCTTTGCGTTCCAGAACGTGGTGGTTCCGACCTGGTGGGGCAACCCCGAGTCTGGCACGCACTGCCCGCTGGCGAACACTGGATTCAAGCCTCTTCCAGAGCCCATCGCTTAGTGTTATTTCAGTCCACTCATTCGAAGAATATGCTCACACAGTGTCCAGTCAGAATCTGAGGTTGCATTGCCCGCTAGCCCAAGCCTAACCCCGTGCAGGCAGCGTGGGTCGCAGCAATGGCAAGCTATGAGCAGCATGTGCAATATATATTGGCCAGTCGCTCACAGGCTGGGTCAGTCTGTGGGGTATGGCATTGACGCTGGCGTTGGCGTTGGCGTGCGGAGGGCTGTGTGCTGGCCATCTCTCCCACAGAGCACAGCCGCTGTGTGAAATGGACAAGGGTTCAGGGGCTCAAGGGCAGTGCGATCCGCATATGTTCTAGGCGGAAGCATCCCAGCTGGTCGGCTGCATGGCAGACAAAGCGTCCGCCTGCATATGCCGCTCCTGGATCAGGTGGCCATGGGAGTGGGCATGAAGGCAGGTTGTCCCAGCAATGCTGTGTGTGCCAGCCAGGATGGCCGGATGGCCCCCGCCGTGCCAGCGATGATAGCGCCGGAGCGTACTTTTGGTTGAGGAAAGGAGCGATTTGCCTCAACCAAATCCCAGCCGCATGCATACCCCTCACACCTGCCCAAGAAAGGCAATGCCACTCGCCGGCACGCTTTAAAGGCAGGGGTCGATCTCTCGGAGAGATGAGAGCGAAAATATCGCATTCCCTCCTCTGCTCTCCTTGGCCACCATCCCTTTCCCTCCCGCTACTTTGCTCTCATTGCATTCGCAACATTCACAGTCTGTGGGAAATTCCTCACATACAAGCCATGAAACCGACATCCATCTCTATTGTCTTGGACACAGACACAGTCAGCCTGTTCGGCGAGCGCACACAGGCTGCCGGCCACATCCTGACTGGCAAGGTTGTTGCCAGGTTCCGCACCACAACCAAGGTGCGCTCGCTGGACGTCTCGTTCACTGGCGAGCAGGCCATCAGCTTCACACCACGCCCTGCCAGCGCCAGTGCCCGGGGCCGGCAATCACCAGTGACTGCAAACAGGCGTCTGGCAGACATCTCGCAGCAGCTGGTAATACCGGGTGCCGACAAATCCACAGCTACATTTAGCGCTGGCATGCACGAGCTGAGATTCGAGCTGGTGCTGCCAGGCGACCTGCCGCCGACGGCCAACCTCCTGTTTGGCAGCATTTCGTACACTGTGCGTGCCAAGCTAACGCTGACAGGTCTGCGGTCAAACTGCAGTGCACAGACACCGGTAGTGGTGGTGCGGAACCCCGGCGAAGGCAGCGAGTGGGCAGACGCAAGCGCCGATGCTCTGAGCACCAGCGCTGAATGGGAGGACAAGGTCAAGGTAACGCTGGCCCGCGACTCTCACATCGTGGCAGACAGCGCGCTGGCCCAGTTCACATGCATTGTCGAGCCTGGCATCAAGGGGTTGCGTCTAATGGCACTCGATCTAGTGCTCAAGGAGGTGCAGACGGTGTTCCGCGATGCCGGCCATGTGCCGGTCCACAGAGAGACGCAGGTGATTGCACGCAAGCGCATTGCCTTTGGCAGACAGGGCTCCGCAGCCGACAGCCGGGAAGAGCACCGGGTGGCGCTAAATATGCCGGCTGCCTACGAAGATGTGCAGTTCGAGCTCCAGTCCGACAGCGTCACCGTGCGGCATCAGGTGGTGCTGACAGCGCTGGTCAAGGCACCCGAAGGCGCTATTGTCGAGATGACCATCCCCGCCTATGTCTCGGTGCTGCCAAATGCCGGCGCCAACGGCACCATTGACCTGCCCCTGTACGAGAGCTCGGGCTCTGACCGGCTGATCCAGACATCCCAGTCTGTCATTTTACCAGGCGCTCTGTCTGACTACGGCGCCCAGTCTGTCATTTTACCAGGTGCTCTGTCTGACTACGGCGCCCAGTCTGCTGGTGCTGACAGCGCCGTTGCAGTGGCTCGTGACCTGCCCCCATACTCGCTGCCTGTGTGCCCGTCGTGCGGCAAAGAGGACGTGTCTGTGCTGCAGTGCCACACGGCGGCTGCGGTTAGAATCAGCCGGATGCCCCCCAATGCCGAGATCGAGGACCTGTGTGCTGAACTATGAAAACTAGAGCGTGGGTTGGGCTGTATTTATAACAAAACATCATAAAGACTGGTATCCGAAGGGTGTATTACCGAAGAGTGAGGCAGGGTGTCAGGTAGTGACTGTCAAGGTAGTTGGCTGCTTACAGCTGTCGCTTGAGCCATCCCCAGCCGGCGTTCTCGATCTGGCGCTTCAGCCGATGCTCGCTGACGCTCTCAGCCTGGCGCCTGCCATAGGCAACCGGGGCATTGCCGTGCTTGAGCCATTCCCAGCTGCCATTCTCGATCTGGCGCTTGAGCCATTGCTCGCTGGCGTTCTCGACCTGGCGCGTCAGCCATTCCAACCCAGCATTTTCGATCTGCCGACGCTCAATAGCAGCCACACTATCAGACTGAGGGGCGGGTACTGCCATGGCGACAGCAGAAAGGAGAAAAGCAGGCGCAAAGAGCTTCATGGTTGATGAGTGGGTTGCTTGGGGCGCTGATGGTCAGGAGGGTAATAGGGGGTTTGGAGGGTAGGAGGCAGAGGGAAACAGTGGTATCTGGGGAGGATGGTTTCGCTAGTGTCAGGACTGGCAGTGATGTGTTCTGCTTGAAATCTGCGGACAGACCATGCTCATTTATACTCGTGTATGACAGTACCGCCAAAGTCGCTAGGAAAGCGAGCAACAGATGTTGCTTGCCGAAGGCATCCACAATTGCACAAGCGACATCTTGAGCGGTGAACACATGCACAGCTAGTTCTTTTGCTGGTTATTGTCCTAAACATCCGACCCAAGGCATGGTGTGGTGTCACTTGGTACATGATCGCCCAGACCTAAATTCCAGAAGGTGGGTCGAAGTCGTGGCGCATTGGCTACAAGACCTTCACGCAGTCTGTGTGCGTGGGCTAGTACATTCTCTATTGCTTGCGTTTTCAGCTACGCTGGTGTCTGGTCGAGCACATTCTCCGCGAACCAAACTGGCCAAGATACTGGCTGCTGAAATGGACTAATAGACGGAATGTCACTGGGATGGTATGATTTTCGCTCAGCTCAAAACACAAGCAATTGTACAAGCGCCTGAAACAACAGCCACAGAAAACCAGCTTTTTTCTAGCTCACAGCATCCCAACAGTATAATTTTTGTAGGGACACTAACATAACCTTCATCTACTAGCCATAAAAATATAACTTCAACCTCAATAGCTTCTTGCACAGAGTGACTACAGCTAAAAGTGATACTTGTTGGAAACCGAATCATAGTTTGTTTTGGCTGTAGGATCCACATATACATGTGGCTCTTGTTCAGGCGTGAATGACAGTACCTCTTTAGGTTGAAAGAGTGAACAAATATCTAGCCACTACTGGTAGAATGTGCTTGCTGGTAGCAACATATTTATTCTGGCTGAGACGATACTGAAAAATACTGTTTACGACAATACTACACGCACGAAGTCTGGTTGAAGAACGAGAACTCCCCCCCCCCATCCTGACCAAACCCAAACGATGTGACGAGTGCTGCATTAACTCCTAGTGTCTGAATTGACCTGGAAATGTAATGCAACAGATGTTAGAAGGGAAGTAGCGGATCTGAGAGAAATATTGAAATATTGTTATGAGTGAGGAAAAACTGAAAAGACGGGCGCCGAGTTAATGTGCAGGCTTTTATGCCGGGAATCTGTGCAATGACCACAGATTCCATTGATGGTGAACTGGGGCTTATGTCATAGCACTAGCGCTATGACGTAAAGAGGAGGCTGTTAGATGGGTGCAGATGTGGTGAAGTCAGAGTGATTAAAGAATCGCATGGTGAGTGGTACCACAGGCTTCAACGGGATCATATGTATATGCACCATATCTACTCACTTACAAGCCCTTAATATTGTTACGAATATTGTGTTTGGAGATTATTTATGCGTTCCATGTGAGTGTGTACTTTATAAAATTTCTCTGCCCACGATGTGAGTCTAGCTGCTAGCCAGCATGGTTTGACATGCCGATAAAAGCATTTCAGTAAACCGGTCATTTGAACGTGTCGGATGATTGCTAGTGAAATGATGATCTCGGACGTCTCATGTCTTGATGACCTGCTCAGCGCAAGCGTTTTCGCGCTGGTTCGTTGCTGCTGGCAGCCGAATCGCCTGTAGCTGTAGTACACCTTTTGTGCGGCCTCCTTATTGCTGGAGTAGCGCCAGAAGCATTGGTAGCAATGGCCCTGGAACGGCGGAACCGTTCAGGAACATGCCGGGATGTCTGCAGCAACTTTTCGCAGCAGAACGGGCACATCGACGATGTCCGGAATTCGTCGATCAGATAGACTTCAAAGCCATGGTGCTTGAACTTGTCGTGCCATCCCTTGCCACGAATCGGCGCATGGTGTCGGGCCATCCGCGCACTCCAATTGCCTATGATCAGCACTGGATCTGGACTGAACTCGCTCCAGAGTTTCGCGGCAAGCCAAGACAAATAGCGCTTTGAGGTAGGGTTCTGAACTCGGTTCTATCAATGCCTTTAGGATGTATATTTGACACCTTGGGATCTGAATCCATCGATCTAATGAGATAATACTGTTTTTAGGAGTTCACAGAGCGAGTCACACATACCGGCTTTGAGGGACTCAAAAGAGCCTGAATCGTTTCAGCAACTCAAAAGCGCTCTAGCGGACAGTTAGACACCTTTGGACTATAAAATCATATACAGCAGAGATATACCTGAACTGCTGGCAGCAACTTCACCCTTTACTTTTGAATCCCAACATGGCCTGTGTTATCTATATCCAGCTATGGTATGTGCCAGCGACATTTGTCCATTGCTCTGTGCACAATTAGATGGCGAGTAAGACTGTTGCAAAAAAATGAATGGCTGTGGCATAAATTGAGTAAAAATTTTGGCTCCACGTTTTTAGCTACAATGCTTTCGAGCAAACAAGAATCGCTACAATATTATTATTTCACTTGAAGTACAGTTTATAGAGAACGAAAGGAACCATCTGTAGCCGTCGAAAAAGCAGATTCGCCGTTCATAGACTGTGCCATTTTCAAGCAGGAAGACCATGGATCCGCAATATGGCTTTTTGCAATAATCACAGACCTTGCATACCGGGTGATGTATACTAGATCAATAATATTTAGTAAAAGACATGGTACAGCTGCCGTTGGATTCTAAGCACAGCAGTCTTTAGAAAAACAAGCGTATGACTCTGAATCAACAACGCTTTCTGTTCAACTACACAAACAATAATAGGTGCTTGAGCAAGAGTATATATTTTCTGGATGGCATATGAATGCGACGCTTGTTGTCAACAGATCTAAATGAGTTTGCAGAACAATATACAAACAGGAGTAAAAGAGAGCCCACCAGCCTTGAAGCATAGTCGGATTCTCTACAATATGATCACTTTGGTGAAAACAATGGCCCAAAAGTCAAACATATCATCCTTCACTTCAATGCTTTTCAGATCAATGCATGTTAGTGCTGCCAATAGTGGGCTTGAGGCTACATCTTGTTCCAGCATGGTGGTCAGGCAATGGTGCGCTCTCCCAGAAGACTTTCGGAAGACAAGTGGTATATAAATAAGGTATATACAAATCTTGGATCCAGCATCATCTCATCTTGATTCTGCCTTTACCTTAGCAAACTATAATATTCTAATTACCTGTGCCGGAATGTTGAGGTCATCTGTGTTCGCTGCTTCATTTCTTGCCCTGTGCGCTACCGGTTCAAATACCAATATCTACCTGCCTGAAGGATACGCTGTCGGTGTTGGCTCACAAGGATCACCAGCTCCGGTCCTGGCTCCAGTTCCCGCACAGCTACCCGAATCAATGGCCCTCTTTTCGACAATAAGCGGCATCATCACACCAGTGGCAAATATCGATGCAGCTGCTACACCTACTCCTGCGTCCAGCTATCCTGGAAATCAGTCTGGTACACAAGCTGAGGTAGGATACACACCACATACTGGGGTGGCCGCTGAGCAGTTCAGCCTAGCAAATGCTAGCGCTGTCGCCCAAGAACACAGCAGCGCCTATGGCCACAATGGTGCAACAGCTGAAACAGGCACTCCGGGCAGTCTGTCGAGCGAGCTTGGCAGGCTTTCTGGAGATCAGCCGAGCGATCACAGCGTTGGCTCACTGAGCTCCAAACATCACTCTGCCTCGCAACTGTCGTCTGAGCAAGGGTCGGGTGCACAGTCGGCTATTTCCGCAAATGGCATGGCAACAGCGCTACTGATCGTTGGTACGATGCTCGCAGCGACCATCTCAAATCTCTGACCCCTAGCACTGTGGAGAACAAGAAGCGCGGCGCCGGCTGATGAGGAGACGGCATGTGCCCAGTCTGCCAGAGCACTGCGGCCACGCATCCCTACAGTAGCATGTGACCTGCGCTGGACTGGCTTTTGTTGCTGCCCGAGTTCCAGGATTAAAATTTTTTAGCGCGGGTTTAAAAAAATTCAATGCCTGGCTAGAGGCGAGGAGCGGGAGGATTGCCCACCAACGATTTGCCAGTGGGCCGGCTGTTTTTTCTTGTCCTGCCACTTGCCCCAAAAATGCTGCTGGCGCTTGGGCGATAAGCGGATCGCATCAGTGTGGGCTCCTGAGTTTCGTCGGCACTTATTAGCTGGGGCAGACTAACGAGGCACCTCCGATTATCTTCTCTTTTCTCCCTTCTCTGTTCCTGAGCTTTATCTGCACTTCCAGCTCTTTCTTCTATCGTTCCCACAGCAGCCACACAACGCGACAGGGTTTATGCTTTGGTGACCAGCGTGTTTCTCACCACTATTCTGTCTTCAACCACCTCCAACATACCAGCAGCAATTTCGCCGGCATTCCGTGCCCTGTGTCCGACTCCGACGCGGATACTCTACCTCTTCAGACACTCAGTATTATAGCGACCATTTTATAGCGGCGGCCTAGAGCTCAGGGAGATAGCATCTAATTCCTGACCTCGGTATCTGCTCCACGCAGCAACTCTCACTTTTCCAATCCCCTATTCAGCAGCTTACCACCGGATTTTCGGCGAGCACCAGCTTCTAAAACCAGCAGCACCCCCCTTCACCGCCAACCACTTAAATGACAGCAGCCCTTTTCTCTTCGTCGACCGTCGGTGATGCCCAGCACGGCATGAGCGTCACCGATAATACTATTGCCGAGACTAAACAGTCTACCACCCCGACGTGCAGCAACAACGGCACGCACAGCGAGGGATACACGGGCGCTTTCGAGGGCCCGGAGAAGCTCCTGGAAATGTGGTTCGCCCCTAATGCGCAGGCGGCGAAGCTTGTCAACCAGGCCGGCAAGCTCAGCGACGAGGACTTTGACCAGTGGTCCGAGGTTCGCGATGGCTTGCGGTGCGTGCCGCGGGCGGTCTGGCGCGACATGCTCGACCTTGTCCACTGCCAGGTCCTGAGCACGCTCTGCAACGAGCACCTTGACTCATATCTCCTCAGGTACGTGTTCTGTATGCAACTACTGTTACTTGCTTGGGAGCCTTGCTGGG